ATATGATTTACTGCTAGAGTGTGATAGAATTCAGCATCAATTTTGTCCTTTTTTTTTTTCTTGTTTTAGCACTGTTGGTCATCTTTGAACTCTTTCCAAGTTATATGCCCCAAATCACACTGATCTATTGCCAAAAATTATTTTTTGTTCCCTTATTTTCACTTAAAGCAAATAATTGAAAATTACCTGACCTGTAACCTAATCATATTAAGAACATTTTTCGACTTTCTGGAATTACAAAAAAAAAAAAGTTTTACTGAGACTTATCAAGTTGTAATTTCACTTCTTATTCTTTCACTTAGGCACTGTGTTTAACCCAGAATACTTAAAATGTTGGAGACATCTAAATATTGCTTATTTCATTCACTTTTCCAATGCAATACTTTTTGACAAAAATACTTTTAGTTTAATCATGTATTTCAGATCCATTTTCATCAAAAACTTATCTGCAGTTTAGGCTCATGTAGGTCATGGAAAATGGCCATCAAGGTAATGGCACATCTTAGGGTTGTGAATAGTGATTGGCTGAACATAATTACATGTATTTGTTGGGGGAAAAAATTTAACTTTCTAAATTCAGGATACCCAAATAGAGGGTTAGAGACCACCCCTCTCCCCCAAGACCAAGTTTAACTAAATGTTATAAAGCAGTAAAAGATTGGTCTTAACGTTTTTGGTTACTTAATCATCAAGGGCAATTCCACCTCCATTTGGTGTGTGATAACTACTGCACCCCAGGTCACTGCATCAAGAGGAAGACAGGGATTGAATTGCCCTTCTGTAGAGGGAGGAGAAAGAGTGCCTGTGAAACTTGGGAATCTGGAAATTGAGTTCCTTGAAACATTTGGGCATGCCTAGCTTTGGCAAGACTACTGTATATGTATTCCCATTTCAAGACCACTAGATTATGGAACTGGGCTTGGTGTCTTTTTTAAGGATAAATCTTTACAAATTGCTTTTATGATTATTGCTCTCTTCAGGGTTTCTCCCTTCTCTTAAGTTTTACAAATTTTATTTCCTTTGCTAATCATTAAAGTTTTAGAATTTATAAATTTAATACATAGGCTTCTCTCGAAATTTAAAAATAATTTGAGAGGCCGAGACAGGCGGATCACCTGAGGTTGGGGGTTTATAACCAGCCTAACCTATATAAGGAAACCCCATCTCTACTAAAAATACAAAATTAGCCAGGCATGGTGGCGCATGCCTGTAATCCCAGCTACTGTGGAGGCTAAGGCAGGAGAATCGCTTGAACCCGGGAGGTGGAGGTTGCGGTGAGCCGAGATCGCACCACTGCACTCCAGCTTGGGCAACAAGAGCAAAAGAACTCCATCTCAAAAAAATTAAAAAATAAGTAAATAATTCTACCACTCGCAACCAAATGCTTTACTTAACTCACTTTTAACCCTCTCCACAACCAAGATAAAATGCTTAGGCTGTTGCTTCTTTCCCAGCAGCTCTCCCCCTACCTTCTTGGGTTTTGCTGAGACAATTTTCAAGTTTTAGTCCCCGGGTATCTCAGTAATACTTATTTAAGACTTTTACTACAAGTTCACAGCCATAATATTATCGTTCTTTTAGATTTAACTGTAGTTAAGTATAAAAAATATAGTACATATAAATATGCTCTTTAATTGTTCATATTAATCAATGTTCGCGAAATAAAACAGGCAAACAAAGGATTAACATCCAAAATATACAGGCCAGTAAGACAAAGGCAAGCAAATCAACACGAAAGTCAATTGAGCAAGCAATTCACAGAAGAAATACTAGGAGACAATAAACAGAAGTTGTTTAACCGCAGTAGTAGTTGGACAGCTGCAAACCAAAAACATTATGATTCTCCAGCCCCCAATCCAATTGGCAAATATTTCTAAAACAACATAAGTGCACGCCTGCCCCCGGGAGGTCCGCGCTTTGCACTTTGAGATCTAAATTTTTAGTTTCTAGGATGCCAGCTTACTGGGTTTGCAAGAACATTTGGCAAGCACGTATAGATATCTGGTAATAATTGCAGATAGTCTTTATTATACTCTCAATGCGACAAGATAATGGGAGTTGAAATGGAACTGTCTCTGAATTTATTTGACCCCAACGGCTTTACTTAACCAAAAAAAAAAAGTGCATTAAACCTAAAATTGTACACTAGTAGTGGACGAAAGATCGGCGACAAGAATTTGAGTGAGCCTGAAACTGAGGGGAAAATGCTTCCCTGCAGGTACTGGGCAAGAGAGGACGCTCCAGAAGCCTTTTAGGCGGGGTGTGCACCTGCCCCAGTGCTGGGCAGAGGATGCAAAATGGCGCCCACTAGCTCCGTAGGAGTGGCCTTGAGCTGGACTGGCCGAATAGGAATGTTCGGAGGCGGGACGCTTTCCCCGCCACGCCCTCTGAGAGCTCGGGGCAGGGCTTCCTGTAGTTAGCGCCTTTCCATTGGTCGAAAATGGACCGGGGTTGGGAGAAGCCAATCGTTGCCAGTCTTGCTAAAGCCGTCGCCGTAGCAACGCGCAGAGCCGCCTAGGAGAGGCCTCTGGAGCAGAAGGCCGAGTGGCTCAAGGCCCCACCGTCCAGGTGAGGGGCTGTGGTTTTTCGGGATCCGGGACTAGTTACTGCCAATGCCGGCTATCCGCCCGCCAGCACGTCCGTGCCCTGAGCAGACCGCCTGACCTCCTGCCTGACCCGTCTTCTCACCATTGTCGGGTGTCTGACCTCCTCACAGTCTACTAACGAAGCTGTCCCTGCTCCTGCCCCACAGCTGCTAAGTGCCAGATGATGGAGGAGCGTGCTAACCTGATGCACATGATGAAACTCAGTATCAAGGTCTTGCTCCAGTCGGCTCTGAGCCTGGGCCGCAGCCTGGATGCGGACCATGCCCCCTTGCAGCAATTCTTTGTAGTGATGGAGCACTGCCTCAAACATGGGCTGAAAGGTGAGCCTGAGGGGGCGTTTGGGAACGTGGAAATTCAGGCTAGGTATTTGCTCAGCATTTATTCATCAATGCCAGACATCGTTCTAGGTGCTGGAATGCCAGCAGTGTACAGAACAGACAAGGTTCCTGCCCTCAGAATCGACATTCTAGAGCAGCACTGGCCAATGGAAATACCATGCAAGCTATATAGGCAATTTTAAATTTTCTAATAGCCAGGTTTCTTTAAAAATGTTAGATGATATACCTTTCTGTGGGGATAAAAGAAAAATTTTAAGAAAAAACGGTTAAAAACCTAATTTGTTGAAATATTTTGAAATTAATTTTAATAATATATTTTATGGAACCCAGTATTTCCAAAATATCGTTCAACACATAATCAATATTTAAAAGCCTTATTAGGCCAGATGCAGTGACTCACGTCTGTGATCCCAGCACTTTGGGAGGCCAAAGAGGGCAGAGACCACCCTGGCCAACATGTTGAAACCCTGTCTCTTCTAACAACACACAAATTAGCGGGATGTGGTGATGTACTCCTATAATCCTAGGTACTTGGGAGGCTGACGCAGGGGAATTGCTTGAACCTGGAAAGCAGAGGTTGCTGTGGGGCCAGATGAGATTGACCCACTGCACTCCAGCCTGGGCAACAGAGCGAGTCTCTGTCTCAAAAAATAAAAATTAATTAATTAAAAGCCTTGTTGATGAAAAATTTTACATTCTTGTTTATACTAAGGCTTAAAAATTCACTGTATGTCTTATACTTAAAACACATCTCAATTCAGTTCCTCTGTTGCACTAGCCACATCTCAGGTACTCAGTAGCACATGTGGCTTGTGACTGCCTTGGACAGCAATGCTTTAGAGGATGAAATGGAGAATAAAGGTAGAAACAAACGTAATTACAAAATGCTACCCTATTAAGGAAGCAAAATGGGTTAAATGATAGAAAACCAAGGAAGGAACCTTTCAAATAGGGTAGAAGAAGAAGGTCTTAGCTGGGCACAATAACTCATGCCTGTAATCCCAGCACTTTGGGAGGCAGAATCGGGTGGATTACCTGAGGTCAGCAGTTTGAGACCAGCCTGGCCAACATAGAGAAACCCGTCTCTACTAAAAATACCAAATTAGCCAGGCATGGTGGCGCATGCTTATAATTCCAGCTACTCAGGAGGCTGAGGCAAGAGAATTGCTTGAACCATCTCTTGAACCAGGAGGCAGAGGTTGCAGTGAGCCGAGATTATGCCATTGCACTCCAGCCTGGGCAACAAGAGCAAAACTCCATCTCAAAAAAAAAGAGAAGAAGGTCTTTCTGGGAAGGTGAAATGTGAGCCCAGAGACTTAAAGGAAAAGAAAGAGCCAACCATACAAAGATTTGGAGCAGGAGCATTCCTAGCTTAAAAAAAGAAAGAAAGAAAACAGATACAAAGGTCCTGAGTGAGACCAACCTTCCTCAGCTTGAGAAAGACTCCAGGTAACAGATGTGCTAAGTATACTGAGGGAGAGGAGGGGAGGACATGAGGTCAGGGGATTAAGGAGAGGGTGGGCCATATATTCCGTTAAAGGCCATGGTGAGGCGTTGCATTTTATTCTAAGTGTCTTTGGAAGATCCTAAACAAGGGGAAAACATGTCCTAACTTAAGTCCTTAAAAGAACTTATAGCTATATAGAGAATAGATTGTAATGGTGGGGAGGTGA